CAGCCCAAACGTCGCTATCTTAGTGGCAGCCAAGGATATCAAGCTGCCGTCTCAGTTGATAAGCTTTCACCTCCGACCAATTATTTCGCTCATGACATTATTATGACTTCAGCGGGAGTTTCCAACGATCGTGATTTTATGCTCGCAAATATGCACCAGTTTGGAGAGATGGTGCCAAAGGACCAGGACAATGAAACTACGCCCACTCCAATGGCTTATTCTGAGACTATAGATCTAAACCCGGATAACTGTTACGCGCTCGATGGGCTTACATACGGACAAAAAAAACTGTGTGCCTTGCACACAAGCGTTATGCCAGCGATAAGTCGAGGAGCGCGAGCATCCATACAGGTTAGTAATATAATCCTTACTTGTATTTTATAACTCTCTAAAATTGATGTAAAATATGTTTTCATTTGACTTGGTGTTGGTGGACGATAGGTTTGATTTTTTTAGTTTCACGAATTCTGATGCACCAACCTGCACCCCATCTTCCGCACAAAATAAATAATATAAATTAGATGTTGCACGAATTACAGAAACAATTTCGGTACATTATTTTAATATCGGCTTAGGTCGGTTTATTTCTTCTTATTCAACAGCGAAAATGGGTTGTCGTTTGTGTTTTAATATTTTATTAAAAAATAATTAATATATACAAATAATTTGCTATAAATAACTTTTTATTTATAGGAATGCCAGTTTCAATTTAAAAATCGTCGCTGGAATTGCAGCACGACAGACGATGTTACCGTGTTTGGTCCCATGACTGGCTTAGGTAAGTGTTATTTAATCTAATCTAATTTATTTTGTATAAGCAAATCTCTATATATAAAACTGTTTGTCCTGAGTGACTAAGAACTAAGAAACTGAAACGTTTACTCTAGTTACCTAATGTAAAGGAGAGAGATGCACGCAAAGACGGGGTTTTCTTAGTTCTTACGGTTTGGGATGTGCGTTGATCACAAATCAGTCAGTCAGACAAACAGTTTTATATATATAGAGATTTTGTCTATAATCTTTAAGTTTTCACGTGTCTTTACCTTTAACATTATAGGGTCACCAGAAATGGCCTTCATACATGCACTAGCTGCAGCTACTGTGACCAGTTTTATTGCTCGCGCCTGCAGAGATGGTCAGTTAACGTCGTGCGGCTGTTCACGAGGTTCCCGACCCAAACAGTTACACGATGATTGGACGTGGGGAGGCTGCGGGGACAATCTCGAGTACGCATACAAGTAAGTACAAAATAGAATTACACAAACCCATCAACTGCCGTTTGGTAGAACATCTTAATACCCTCGATATATGCATATATGTGCACATGAGTTATCATTATAAAGCTGCAAATATTGTAATTATTTATATGTATTGTTAGATTTGCAACAGATTTTATTGATGTGCGCGAAAAGGAGACACGACGCGGAACTCGCGGTGCAGGCAATCCCGAGCGGCGTGGTACGCAGCAATTGCAACAAAAACGCAAGCAGATGGAGGCTAATGGCACAAAGGACGCTGGAGAGTCCAATTTAAACATGACGAATTCCAAAACTACCATAAAGTTACACCTTCCCAATGAAGCCTTGACTGATAATAATGAAACGTCAGCCATTTTGTATGAACTCCAGGCCAAAGCCAACAATAAAAAGAAAGACATATTTCTTGATAAAAATTCAACAATACCTTCTACATCATTTGCGCCGCCCAAACAAGATGAAGAGGCACGCACTAGCCCAGACGATCTATTGGAGCTCCAGCAGAGAATAACAAAAGAAATACTTAATTCAAAATTAAAGGAAACAGAAATGCTCGAATTACAGGTGAGACTTGACATGTAGTTATATGTAGTATGGTTGCTTAGCTAGAAGCCTATATTAATGAGCCAATTTGGTTATTAATTTGTGGGGGAGTTGTTTTCATTTTTAGACCAGAGCTAGCCCCTTGTTCTAACCAATATATTTTTTTCTTTTTAAAAAAGCTGTGCTCAACAAGTGTATCCTCTTACGATCCTCTTAAAATTGAAAAATGGTATAGATATTTGATGTGATCTGTCTAAAGATCGCACCTTGGGGATGGGAATATGTGTGGTTTTGTCTTTTAACTTAAGCGCTGTTAACTTTAATTAATTGTTTTTGATGTAAGTTTTTGTTTTCTTTGAAGTTATCGTTGTCATTGTAATCATATCAGTATCTAACGCCTAAATTGCGGAAATCCTAAAATGAAGAACATTCATAAAAGTGCATACATCCTCATTTGGAATAAATATATAATATTTCGTCACTCTCCGTCCCCCAATACTAAGCAGTCATATACTTAATTCAATTTTTTACATTTTTTATAACAGGAGAAAATTAATCGGGAAATTTTAAACTCAAAGCTGTTCCACGGAGACACCAACGCCAAGCGCCGTAAACGCAAGCGTAAGAATCAACGGGCCGTCAGTGGCGAGGCTCCTTTTTTGTCCAACACAAATATAAAGGCTCGGAGTCTAATGAATTTGCACAACAACGAAGCGGGCCGAAGGGTAAGACTTTATTTACTTATAAGGTTTTAATTAATAGTAAAAGTAAACTACTTATCAGAGTTGGGGTCTCTAGCTCAAAAATACAATTGTTTTAAAATTGTGGCTTAAAGAAGTGGATATTTCCAATAGATTACTTGTTGCTATGGGATGGGGCAGAGGATGGCAATAGCTAAAAGATCAAAGATACTTGAAATCTATATACTATTTTACTATCTTCAATGAAAGCGTGTTTAGCGATTTTTTTGCAAATTCACCCGCAACTCTGAAAATTTTTCAGTGATCTTTGTTAAAATTTGTTTGATACGTTTTCACAAATTTCACCTTTCTTGGATGGTTTACTGAATTTGATTCCAACTTTTCGTTCTTTATTCGATGGACCTCAAAATATAAATTATTAAATGAACGTTGAGTTTAAGATAGTTCGGACAGATTTAAATTGTTCACGGGATTGAGAGAGTTCATCTCACAACAGTCGAGGATTGCTGGCTCTAAGGCTGCAACCCCAAACAGGGACTTTTAAACCGGGTGCTTGGGCTTTTAACCGTTTGCCCATAGTAAATTGATGGGGTCAACAAATTAAAACACTATTTGACACAGCTATAAGCTCCCGGATATTACAAAAAACTAGTAAAACCAAACAATTGTTTATTTTTCTAAGGTTTATCGATTTTGAATGTAAATACAAATGTTGTAAGAACTATGCATTGACAGTAGAGCGAAGCGCAAGACACTCAACAAATTGTAATTAATAAATAAATAAAAAAGAAGTAAGTTTTGAATTAATGTGTTTTTTCTTTTCTTTTCATCTCAACCAGGCCGTCATTAAAAAGACACGAATTACTTGCAAGTGCCACGGTGTCTCGGGCTCTTGCAGCTTGATCACGTGTTGGCAGCAATTATCATCCATAAGAGAAATTGGTAAGTCCATTGAGGGGTAGATTAGAAATTGAGAAATGTTGGCATTGGGGGTAGTTTACCAGCACGGCCAGCGTCTGCGCTGCTGGATGATCCGAGATCAAGTATTCTCAATCGTTGCTGTTTAAAAATTGCTGGGTTAGAAATAGTTATTTAATAATTAAGAATACGAAAATCTTCCTAATAAAATTATATATAGTCACACATAATTGATCAAATTTATACATTAACATTTAACAAATGTTTTTATTTTGTAGGTGATTATTTGCGTGAAAAATATGAAGAGGCTACAGAAGTAAAGCTCAATAAACGTGGACGTCTACAGGTAAAAAACAGCGAGTTTAAGGTTCCAACTGCCCACGATTTAATTTTTTTGGATGAGAGCCCCGACTGGTGCCGGACTAATCGTCTCTTGCAATGGTCAGGTAAACATTTTTCCTCGCATACAGTGTATGTATTTATTTATATTTATATATTACTAATTGATGTTGCTTATTAGGTACGCACGGCCGCGTCTGTAACAAGTCCTCATCGGGGCTTGATGGCTGTGGTATACTTTGCTGTGGCCGAGGATACAACACCAAAAATATTATCGTTCGTGAGCGCTGCAACTGCAAATTTCACTGGTGCTGCCAGGTTAAATGCGATGTATGTACAAAAGTACTCGAGGAGCACACTTGTAAATAGGTATATTCTATAGGCAGCACAGAAAATGTCCATATGATCACGATTCACATTAACATAACATTAAACGTATTTATATATCGACTTAGAATATTATTTATTAAATTATATAAGTAACATGTCTGTTGCATAATGGATTTTTTCTTAGCCTCTTATTTACAATCTAGGTTATACCATAAGGTTTGAAAAGTGTATATGTATTACCATATACACCAAAATATAAGTTAATTTCAAAATTTTAATGATAAATTATTAAATTGGAACATTTTTTTAATGCTATATGATTAATTGTGGATTTTTTTGTGTGTAGATTAACACTCCAGATTATATATCCAGATGTATTGTAAGCATTTCAGCAACTTTATCTGCATCAATTTATTATTACAAGGGTATGTATATAGCACTGTACTTAAAACTTTAGCAGAGATTTACAGTAAGGTGTTAAATGGGGGTGTATTCGAGTACATAAATGCAAGGGTTAATATGAACAATGAATATGTTTTATGCTCTCTCTATTTTTTTCATACCCTGAACCCATTTAAAATGGGTAAAAAGGGGTATAATGTTATTGTTCAAATGTATGTGGCAGGCAGAAGGAAGCATCTCCGACCCCATAAAGTATATATATTCTTGATCAGCATGAATTGGCGAGTCGATTTAGCAATGCCCTTCTGCCTGTCCGCCCGTCCCTCCGTATGTATAAATGCAAAGATCTCAGAACCTATAAGAGCTAGAGACTTGAAACTTTCGAAAATTTTTTAAGCTCTTATTAGTTTCAGACTCGGCTTTTCGAGTTATACTAAATTAGTTTTGAAAAAGCTTTTATTGTTTATGTGAAATACAATAGTGTGTCTTCCTACATGTTGAAATTAATACAAGTGGTATCTTTTTATGGTTGCGTTTTATTATGAATCAGTGGGAATAGCTGGCAATGGGTCACTAGAAATACGTTTCGTTCGCGGCGTAATTTGTGCGTATCTGACGCTGCCTCTATAAGCGAAGGATGATTGCCAGTTATTAAATATTTCAAATCCTGGTTGGGTTGGTGCATCCCCTTGTGGTATTTTATCGAATGATATATATGTCGGGATGACTTCATATAAGTTTGGGCTTATGTAGCTATTACTGCTGGCCAGGCTTTCCATTGAGTTGCGCCTCGGAATGATTGAATTGAACCTTTAAAAAAAGAATTACATTATTAGGCGGACAAACGGAGAGTTACTTAGAAAAACCCATGTAACTACAATTTTGATAATAAGCGGCATATTCATACATTTGATTAATTGTCAATAAGCGTTACTCAACATATTCTTTAAATTTACTTACCGATCCTCATTTTTTGTAGAGAACATTTTTTCTTTATGCAGGAAATCTTGCGCTGTATTACCACGTGATAAGACGACAATATCGGCGGAACTTGAATTTGGTTTGACGATCCGATTGCTGCCCTTTACCCAGATTGGTTTCTTCTTCAAAACCAAAAACATTAGCATTATGCCCGTCAACATGAATACAACGACACCAAGCACCAACAAAGATATACCCTATAAATAAATTTGAAAAGGTTTTGCTATAAATTAGTATGCAGTTGATGTGTATAACAATTATTTACGAGATAACCAAACTAATTCCCATTGCATTTAATCAACAAACAAGTAAGTGGCTCTGGTCGGGACTTCCCGACTAGGGGATACCCTTAACCCTCTTCTACCAACACCAAATGCAGCTAGAGGAAACTCGGGAACTCCCGACTAGAATCTCTTACTTGTGTTGTTTTGCTGATTTTCAGATTTCGATTATTTTTTTTTGTGGCAAATTTAATTTCCGATTATCGTGCAATTTTAAGAACATAAATTGGTCATAAACTTAAGAAAAGAGTTATTCTAATTCATAACTTAGATGTGCAAAAATACAGGAAATACTTGTGCTAAGGTCGAAATATCATCAAGTGGTCATTTGAAAGTCCATGATTTGCGGTAACAGAATTTAGCTTTTTTTATCCCCGAGCTTTTACTTACATTACCAATTTTATCTTTCTAACAGGTGAACATACGGACAGGGGAACAAATATGGACATACAGACTCTGCACTGGGGACTAAGTTATGATTTATGTTTTTGTCCAAGTATTAGAAATTTTTGCAAGTAAGATTTCCCTACCATCAATATCGGATAAAGGTACGAATAATGCTTAACATAAAATATTTAACAAGTATTAGGTAGTATTTACTTTAGCACGCATTCCTTTCGAAAGCCAGGCATCGTAATATGTGTCCAAATTACCGCCAATATGAACTGACTTACAACTGAAAGGAGAAACAGTGTTATGCTGATCGTCAACCAAACAAAATGTATAAGCTACGTTTGGCATTAATTCTGTTACAATTGTCTGCAGTGGCATTGTAAAATAACAACCAAGTCCAAACTCGTCGGGTATCAGTTCCATCATGTAATACTCCTTTGTAGTTTTCGAGAACCAAAAGAGACCAAAGGAGAGAGCGCTTGTGCTTTCGCCCTGATCGACACTAATTTTTACTGTAAGTGCCCCAATATCTGTTGGGGAGAAGTTGATCTGTGGCCACCTGACATTCTGCCTGTTGTCATTAGTTTTTAATGTATTATTAGTCGATAAACATTCCAACGTTACGATCTCATTGGGTTGCTCAGTGTCAGGTGTTGACAGTGTTGTAAAAATAGTATGATTATCCGTTGTTGTTTTCGGAGTAGTCGAGGTAATTGTTGTTGTGATTATTCCCGTGGTTGTAGTTGGTATGTAAACAGATGGAGGTAAATCCGAATCATTTACACAAAGGCGTTCATCGAAAACCATCCAGTTCTTGTATTCCTCTGGAGACGTGCAAAACATATCTAATTTTGAGTTGTGGTAAATGAAAATCTCATTCATTTCTTTTTGCAATTGACAGTCACAGTGCCAGCTATTGGAGCTTGCGACTATTCTCAGATTATTTGAAATCTCGTGAACACCAAATATAATTTTAGATAGCGTCATTAGCTTGTTATTTGATATGTCCAACAATTGCAAATATTTCAAACCTGCAGAAAGAAGAACATCAGTTTATTAATTTCGTAATAGTGCTCTACTTTTGTTTGCTCGACTAGGGGATACTATTAGGAGCTATTAGTTGTCTTAACTTAGTTTTAAGCTGACAGATACTCTGCAAAAGCTGTGCGCCCTCTTACCTCAACTCGTTATAAGTTAACTTTGTGTCGCAAGCCACATTGTTATCATTGCATTAGAGTTTTACTCGTTGCTAACGAGGGAAGGTCATTGATGAAAATAACAAAGATTATGACTATTTGGGGGAACCCCAGCAGTTACTTGGGTACATTAAAAGTTCTCTAATCAGACTGATTGGCTTTTTTATACCCTTAAAAGTGGTTAAAAGGTGTATAATGTATTTGTGCAAATGTATGTAATAGGCAGACGGAAGCGTCTCCGACCCCATAAAGTATATATATTCTTGATCAGCATCAATTGCCGAGTCGATCTAGTCTGTCTGTCTGTCCGTCTGTCCGTATGTATGAACACAAAGATCTCAGAACCTATAAGAGTTAGAGACTAGAAATTTGGAACGTATGTAGGGCCGTATGTAGGTCTGTTTCCGATAATCGATAACTTGCCCCGTTTTTAAGTAATCGATAAAAATAAATGTAATTATATTTTATACATACTTTTTCAATCGGTTTATATTACCTTGAAAAATATAGCTTGGTAAATACTCAATATTCGAATGCGACAGAATCAGCCTTTCGACCATGGTTAATTTTGTGAACGAGTCTTCACGCAATTGGTTACCAAAGTTGTTGTAGCTGAAATCTGCATAAGTAAGTGCACCCAAAATCGGATTAGTGCCCGTCACATTTCGTACACAATCGATTGCAACTTGAAGCTTTAGATATTCCAGTTGATAAATCACATAATCCAAAAAATCGGGATAAACACTTTGTAGTGCCCTATTATGCTGCGTAATTGAAATTCCTTTCAAATCTCCTGATATGTTTGCCAGAAATTCCTTGTCAATTTGATTAAGATGAAGGTCTTCAAGAATTATACGATTGAATATGCCACCACCAAATGCTCCGTTCTCAATGGCTTGTATGTTCGAGATACCCAAATATATTTGTTTGATCCTATTGGCGTATGTAGATAGAAATCCGACTGGTACCACAGCATTGAAAAATCTATAGTTATATAGGTACAGCTCGTCAATGATATCACATGGGTCACTCTAATTCGATAAAAAAAGAAATACTTAGAAAATTTAAGCATTGTAAAGAAAATATATACTTACATTATCTGCGCTTGTTATCGCAAGTGATATATCCTTCGCGATCTCGGCCTCTCGGCCATTGGTGCAGATGATGCGGCACTGGACTCTCAAGCATCTTGGTGGCATTGGTATCTCGGTATCTGCATCTCCAAGATAATCACTAGAATAGAAAACAAATAAGAGTGCTCTAGTCGAGACTTCCCGACTGGAGATACCCTGAACCATCTTCTATCAAAACGATGGCAGTTCGCATTACGCGCTCGCTTGTTCAGGCTTTAGCCAGAAATCAACTCTTTTATTCCTTTGTAGAGGGTATTTTAATTTTGTCATGAAATGTGTAAGGCACAGAAGGAGACTTTCCTACCCCACAAAGAATGCATAGATTCTAGATCCGCATCAAAAGCCGAGTCGACTCGGCTATATATGCTGACCAAGAAAATATGTTCATTATGGGTTGGCAGTGCTTCATTCTGCCGATAACGTACATTTTCCCAAAACCAATATACTCTTTTCCTCATTTTCAATCGATTCAGGGTATAAATAGAGATCAAACATTCGACATCCATTAGCGTAACACGATGATATGTACGTGTTATAATAATGATAACAAAAACTGTTTATCGCGGCATAATGCATATTGCGCATATTGACAGACGGAGAGCAAAAATATATAGAAAAAATGTCTCTCTTTAAAGAAACATAAATAAAATGTTATCAAAATGAATCAAGCAATTTATAGCGCACATGGCGTAAGCCTAGTAAAAAACGTTTATAATTCATTAAGATTTAGACACATAAGTGCGAAAATCAATCATTTTTCTCTCTGTACCAAACTAAAACATTATATACTATACCTGATGTTTCGGATAGCTTCTTTGACCATGCTGATGGCGTGCTGTATATCAAATCCGTCATTTTCGGATTCTAGTGATCTATTTGCGATACTGAAATAGCCAATATCATGCGCGACTATTGAGAAACCAGCCCAAACGTGAAACAAGTAGAAAACAATCAAGGATTGACTTTTTGCCGAAATCCCCAGCATTACAGTGAAGTTATTGTTCCAAGCTTAAATCGTTTTCAGAACCTCACTAATCAATTGCCAATTCTATAAATTAGCTCATATAAAGAGAAAGCATATTGGCTTTTAAAATGCTTCATGAGCAAACAATTCGAGCTAGTTCACGTCGCGACTGCTTAAAATAAACTAAATGCGCGGCTAAATAAGATTAATACGCGGGCCTAATGCCATATCACTATCCATATCTGCATATTTAAGTAGTTAGTGAATCCGACAATGAGATAAGCGCTACATGTGTATTGATTTTTTGATCCATGAAAACTACAGTCAAAAAAAATTGATTAGTAGATAGATACAAAACATACAAATATAGGTAGAAGAATTTAAATATGATTCAAAGTCTACGCTGTTTAGTTTTATATTTAAACATAAGAAATTTTAATTATTTTTATTTAATTATTTTTTTAATTTTATTATTATTTAATTTTAATTTTAAATAATATTTTTTAGAGTTTGCTTTTTTTTTGCTCCAAACTCCACTGGAAACGGCAAAATATGAATATCTATATCGGAATACTGTGATTGATCATATCTCGGAGCTTATTAGAGCTAGAGTCGCCAAATTTGGTAAGTACACTCTCCTCGTTATCCAGAAAAATGGATTCATATTTAGAAGTTAAAGATAAGGTTTTCGCATATGTATGCCATATATATGTCCTGCAAATAATTCGAAGATCGGACAATAAGCACCGAAGCTAAGCTTTTCCCACAGTGTTGGTTTTTGTCTATGTATGTTAAGAAGGACTGACATTAAATTTCCAAAAAAATTTTAAATAAGTTGAAAGGATGTAAAAGGCCAGCTTCACAGTATCCCCTTGTCGGGCAGTCCCAATTTGAACAGACTTGTTATTATACCATGTACTCATTGATAATGATAACCATTATTATAATGGTTTTGTGCAAAGTATCGATTTTTAGATTATGTTTTTTGACCAATCTCGGCGATAATAAGAGCGACAAATTTGGAATTTAGTAGCTCGTATATACAAATCCAAAACATTGAATTTGTTTTCAGTATGTACACACTTTGGATGCCATAATTTCGCCCTGAAATATGTTAGTGTTATATACTGGACTAGCCGGTATTTCGAGGTCTTGCCCTGTCCAAGGTTTTTTTCTTTAAATTTCGTTAAATCAATTTCTCATCCACTTTCCGCTCGTGGAAAATTTAAATCTACCCTTACTATTATCAGCTTCACATCTCAAGTTTATTTTTACCTAGATCTTCAACAATGAGCTTGGAGCTCATCGCATTAAAACCTAAATGTTGGAATTAACGTTGTTCACAATGTCCTTCGAAAACGCCTATTTTCCACTGTTTATGGCTGATTTGTTAAAATCGCTTTAGAGCTTTTTCATTAGGTTCTTATGTAGAACTTAGAAATAATGTTTGTAGCTTTGGGTGAAGCTTTAAACTTCGCCCTTAAAGTTTTTGGAGGAAGTGTGGAGGGGTGGAATTTCTAAAAAGTTTGAAACATATCTCATATTAATTTTCATAAAAATGTATGCAAAAGAGCTATAACCCGAAACTTTGCCCATTTAACTTTTGACCAGCTTAATTCCAGCAAGGAAAAGGAAAACTAAAAAAATGTATGAAATAGATTATCGCAAAGATCTTTGAAAACTAATTTGAAGTGGAACGGATGTTAAACAATACTTTATACAATACAATACTGTCATTAATTCTCCATGTAGTGAATTAAATATTTAAGTCGCTGAAACAAAGTTTGAAGATGATCGGTTAAAACTTAAAACTTCGCATACAAATTCTTGAATCCATAGATTTCTCTAGAAGAAGCTTGAATTTTGCGAAAAGCGTGACACAGGCTTAAATTGAAATTTCATCAAAATCCTTGGAAATGAGTTTCAACTGGAAACTTCATCTACCAAATCATTAACAGAATTTCTGAAAATTTCAATTATTTATGTCGTGTATAAAATAATTGTATACAACTTTATCAGACGAGTCGGTGAAGGTTCCCATATACTACAGTAAAAATGCATTATTTATCAGTCACACAGGACAAACAATTTCAGAGAAATATTATTTTTTATTTATAGGTTTAAATACATGTAAGTAATAAGTTGATTTTCATAATTCATGGCTTTTCAAATTTTAGGAATTGTTGGTCCACGTAGAGTGAAAGTTTCGAGTTACGCTTAGGCAAAGGTGGCGGAGAGCTGGGCGTGTCTAGGCAGGTGCCAAGCTTGCGACTCTCACTAAATGGTATTGGCATCTCATACTCGATGGGTTGAGCTTCTGTATTTGCGAAACTTTCTTCGAAATGAGTCGATGAGGACTTTAGGCTACATGAACTCGGCATTTGTATGCTCGTTGATGCTTCCAATGGCCTGGATAAAGGGAGAAAAATGTAATTAGGTAATTTTATAAAAGGCGTAAATGGATCTTACCGTTTGTCTCCGATTCCAAATGAACTCTTGTGCATTTGATCTTTGTCAAAAGAAGGTTTGTTATATTGTGATTCAGCTATTGTAGATACGCAACATGTCTTCTCAGATTCCTTGATGACCATGATATTTTTTGAGCCCTCTAAGAGATGGGGGAAGGACTTAATGCCCAAATATGCAAAAAAAGCGCCAAATATGGTTGATATGAAAAATATCAGACACAGCATTCCGATGGTAAACTGCTTATCACTCTCAGCAATCCAGATGTCATCTGTTTCATCATCGGCTCGGGCTATGGGTATATGCAAGGGCTGGCAAAATAATGGAGATATGACGACAACATTTATAGACATCATACAAAATGTGTAGGTACGATTTTGCCTCAGCGCATCGGTTATCAAATATGGCTCTTCATACTTCATGCAATTGTAGTCCCTTTCTGAAGCTGAAGACGCGATAGTCGTATATGTGTTCAACTCTTCCGTGAACCAAATGATATTCAAGTTATCAGATTGAATATATCCGCCTATATAGGCGCGTACGCTATAATTTTGTAATAGTTCCAGGTCGAGATCATAGGCAGGAGGTTCAAAAACAAAATATTGATCCTTTTCAATCACCACATCTCGTTTAATTCGACTATCCGAATACTGTTCCGAGCTGGTTATAGAAATCGCTTGCGAGCAACTCAATTGAACTATTGGACCGTAAATGCTTGCATTTTTTACATTTTCGTCATGGATCTTTTCCTGATCTGTTTCCGGCGTTACTTCATCTCCAGTAAGAAGGATATCACTTTGCGATTTAATTGGTGCATCGCAGCCGAGCTCCGTAGCTTCAAGTTCATCAAAACTTTTGCCATAAAGGTTCAACGGCATCCGGCAATATGGAGTACTCACAAATAGATTTTTGTTTTCATTATAGAATTTGAGCAGTGATCGCAGTTGACAATTGCAGTGCCAGTTGTTGGGCTCAATGTCGAATACTAAACGCCCGTTTCCGATGGCGAGTATATTGGCATTGATATTGGTTAACAAATTGTGCTTTAAGTCAACTAAAATCAGAGTTTTGGCAATATCCTGAAAGGCATCATCCTCGATTGCAGTTATTGAGCAGTGTTTTAGGTAGAGGTAAGTGACGTTCGGAGTTCCACTGAAAACTAGTTGACTGAGAGGCCCACTAAAAGTGTTATGGCTCAGGTCAAGGTGAATCAAATTTTCCAAATATATATTGTCGAAAATATTTGAACTACTTTCGAAATTTATGCCGCAATTAATCTTCAAGTGTGTTAGACTCATCTGAACGGGCTGCAAGAAAGTAAGTCCTATGTTGGGAAATCGAAAATCTATTTCCAATTTCCGTAATGCGTAGAGGCCTAGAAGAGCTCCGCTGCTAACTTCATGAAGTTTTAGGTCAAGCCAGGTCATATGTGAAACCTGCGCAAACATCGTCGAGCTAAATGCACCGCTATTTATTTTCCTAAATTGGCTTCTGATTAGCGCAATTTTTCGCACAGTGGAATTCACATCAATCCAATTATCCTCAATGGAATGCTGCATTTGATTAGATATTACCAAGGAGCTAATTTCTTCACAATAACTTGCAGTCATTACGGCAGCTGCCTCCGCGTAAATATTTATGCTGTTGAAGCACTCGATACGGCAAGATATTTCGCAACAGCCTTGTTTCGATCCGTCTGTAAGGAGTCTGAAAAAAATGGTTAGGAAAACGCAATTTGAATGAAGAATGATTTTTTACCCCAACGAGTCAATCGAATTGTCGTCATTTTCCTCAAAGCTGTCTCCTGTCTCATTGGCCAGTTCTGTTCTGTTGTCTGTGATTTTTTCCAAATCTATAGAATTGCTCTCGCTGTTCACCCGAAATACGATATATGTAACTATGGCGAATATAAATAATCCGAGACAAAATGTCAACAAAATCCATGAAAATATTTTCGTTGTCGAATCGTTCAATTTATTCGAATCGGCATTTTGTGAGCTGAAATTATTTTAAAATAGTATATTAATAAGGTGATGATCCTTTAAATTAAAAAATATCAAATTTACATTTCTCATGTTTATACTCTTAGCTGAACTGAAATAATTGCAAAATGGTAAATTATTAAGGTTTCGTAATGATCCTTTAAAAAAATCATAGTTTTATCGATTTCGGAAACAACAAGAGCTCTAGCTCCCAGTGCTAAAATTTATGATAACTGGTCATGTTTGCATGAAATCGATAAGTATGGATATCAAAATCATATTTTGTAGCATACATTGCGGCTGTTTAGAGCTATTCGTATACACAGACCCGGAATATTTAAATTTTGGAACCCTATCCTAAGTTTCCAATAAGTTGAAGGAAGCATAATAAACTGAATAAATTTAAAAAAATATGTCAGCTTGCTAAAGTAAACTTTCCGTATCTTATAACATGGCTCAACTCCTATGGTTTCGCATTAATATAGGCAACTAGAACTTTGATATGTAACTTATACCTTCAGAGAAGCCTACGTCTACGTGAATAAAATAATTCTACCAGTTTTGGATATTCGCGTGTAACTTTCTTGCCGAGTACCTAATCTGTTTCAAAGTTAATTCAAAGGTTTTAAAATGACGTTCAGAAAGTTAAAGTAGGAATCTTCTTAAGCCCTTTAACGAATAAAGAATATTTATACGTTTTTAATGTGCATATTAATTTCTGATAATTAATGAATTACAAATTTGTTTAACTTTAGAAAGTTACCTTGGTGGATCGCGGCCTTTGCTGCTCTTTTTGTTTTCCTGATAATTCGTTGCCTTCTTTTCCAGCTGCATTATTGTAATGGAGCTTTAACACAACTGTCACGCATTTGCCAACTGATTAATACTAAGTATATTCACAAAATGGCATTTGCATTTAGTATCGGCTTATCGTTCACATAAACTGTATATGCTGATAATGATAATACTTATTCATATGACCAATCAATATTATCATTGTTATGATAACTACATATTCACAAATAATCAAATTTTTTTGTATATATATATAGATATATCTATGCATAAAACTGTTTGAACTGACTGACTGACGGAATTATTGACTGACGGACTTATTGACTGATTGGTGATCAACGGACAGATGCTGAAATTTGCACTGTAGTTACCTTATGTGATGAAGGTTAACGTTAAGACGGGGTTTCGGGAAATTCCTCCCGCATGTGTGGAAAAATTGCTAGAAACGTTTCAAACTCATTTTCAAAGATCTCTGTTAAAATTCATTTGATGGGTGTTTGCCTCCAGATCAATTTGGCATCTTAATCCGCCAACATTATTCTTGGTCGAAATTCATGTCATAATGGTTCCCTTAAATATCCTATATAGACATGGTTCAAAATTTCCCGCACCCATAACTCGGTTAAATTTCATCAGATTTTCATGAGCTTTGGGTCTTTGTTCAGGGCTTTGCCTCTCATATTGCTCTACATAGGCTCTATAGGAAAAATCCATCATAAATGAGTTTTTGTATGGAAAAATATTCTGTTTGCTTAGATATTTTTACCCATCTCAACAGTTACGAGCTTTACTATTCTTGCCACATATCTGCAAAACCTGAAGCCAAATATATTTCGATACTTTGTGTTTTTATTGGGTAGGTTGATGTCTGTGCACGATTGGGTTGGGAAAACGCCGAGTAAATTCAGTTTTTTTTATTATATTTATGCAATTTATTTAAATTAAAAACTTAAAGTGCTTAATAAAGCTCTTCATATAACTCAAAGCATTCATATGTATAAGTGTTAGGATTTGTGGATATTTTATTTTTTCCCTCGTATGGCGGCACGGATGGGGCGCGTTCTAAGGGTGGTATATTGTACTTATTTGATTCTCCTCGGTACAGTTGTGCTTGTTCTAAATGGCGATAGTATGCTACATATTCGTTAATGCTGTTTTCGGATTTTGGGTACCTATCAAATGCAAATTTTTGTTAATAATATAGCACACATATAACGAACCTCATTCTCATATGCTTACCCAATTGGGTTGGATAGCTCCATTTCAAAACTCAGAGGCAATAGAACCATTGTGGGAGATCCCCGCGACGGGCGAAGCAAGCGTTTACTTCCGCATAGCCAGGTCGGACGAATCCAGAGAACTCCGTACATGACGAATAACCCAAGGGTTACGCTCAATAGAATACCGACTATTCCAAGACCTACAATCAGCGAGCTGTGTGCCTCAAACCACATTTTCTTCTCGCTACATGCCAAAGTTTGATGTGACCGACAATTAAATGGCGAGGTCATATTTTCTTCTATTAACAGGCAAAATACGTACGCGGTGCCGCAGTTTAAATAATTAATCTCAACAGTTATATCATCTACGATTTCAACGGCATCGTCTTTAGAAATTTGAAAAGTATCTTTTGCATTTGAAAAATAGATGATGGTCCAAAACTGAGAGTCTAACTGGGATAAAGTAAGGTGGACTGCGCTGTCAGAATCGTCTTCAATTATAATTCGTGCATCGTAGTATACCGTGGTGTTACTTATAGTTTCTTTGGCCGCATTAATGCATACGATATGATCGAATAAAAGAGGATGATCATCGCCTACCGATTCAGTGGTCGTTATATCCAACTCGGTTGTTGAGCTATTCAGTATAGTCGGGGCAGCCGGCGTAGTCGTGGAAAGCGACGAAGTACTTTTCGTAGTTTTTACTGCAGCTGTGCGCCTTGTTGTTGTTGACGTTGATTCTGTTTCATCTGTGCTTTCAGAACTATACGGAATATCAGTGCTAATTAAATTTCTTGTTTTTCTAATCAGTTCAAAGCAAGACATTATATTTGATGAATTTAAAGAATCTAAAGTAGTACAGCTACAATCCCAATCATTATCCACGAGATTCAGCGTAATACCACTTTGTATGGAATTCAATATAAACTCAGGACTAAATTTGGTAAGCTTGTTGCCGCTCAAGTCCAAGTATCGAAGAGCATCAAAGCCACTTGTTACATCAAAACTAATACTGATCAGTCTACAACCTGCTAAAATTAGGTACTCCAAGGCCGGCATGTTCTTAAAACTGTTGGTTTCTGCCGATCCTCCGATATTGGTTCCACTTAGATCTACGACTTTGAGGCGTTGATAATCTGCGTCGCCGAAAAAGTATTCAGGTTTATATATTTTATAATGTGTATATTCCTGATAAATTTTCGCTGAACGTAGGGTGTTTGCCAGTGGTAACATAATTCCTTTACATCGCAGCGATTTTCTTCGATTGATCAGTGTGAAGTTCCTTAGTTTATTCAGCCCTCGAAATGCATTGTTACTTATATTTTTGAGCCTGGCATTGATTAACTCTATATTCAGGAGACTTCGTAAGCTGCTTTGATCAAAGGCGTCATTATTAATATAGTTCAGTTCACAATTGTTTAAAACTAAACTTTGCAGTCTGTAATCACCATCAAAGCTATTATTCCGCATTACTCCCTTGGGAAAGTGATAGTTTTTAAGGCGAAGTATAAAATAATTATTGCAAACCGTTTTTTTTTTGGCATGTTTCTGTCCGAGAACCAATTGACTAAAATTATGATTGCAATGGAGGTTTTCTTTGCACCATTCGGCATATTTTGAGAATGGCAATTTGTTAAAATCAACTTTTACTTGAGGCGATATCGTTCTTGATATTTTAAAATCCTTTGTCTGGGAAACCTGATTGTTCTGTGCCGGTTCATTTGAAAAGTCAACATTGCAAATGATTAAAAGAAGCACAAAGCCAATTGCAGCTGGTTGTATGATGTACTTCAGCCATCGGATTTTGCGTGGTTGATAGAGTTTTTCGGGTTGTCTTGTAATCTCTTCATTATTCAAATCGAATGACTTGGATTTAAACATATTCGGAATGTTAAAATCAATGCTTAAGCGATAACCGTCAACTTTTCAACTTGTTCTCAGGGCACTAAACAGGATTGTCATTTGTGTGGCTAATTTACCAAATTAGTAACGCCCATTATCAGTTATTTTTCCAACTTATTATTCAATATTATTATGATAACGAAACAGATTAGATTACGCAATTGCAGGAATAGCATTACATTGCAGGAATAGTACATACCGCAGAGGCCAAGCACAACAGAATCCAATTCAATCAATTCACTTTGATTTAATCAGTCTATATAATATAATATTAATCGTGACAAAAGTCGAGTTACATGAAAGATTTGAAAGAGCAACCTTTACTGGGGTGTGATCACCGAATCCAAAAAGCAAATCAGCATCAAAAGGACAAGCTATCTTTAGTTCTTATAGGTTCTTCGATCGATGCGACGGATGGACACATAAGGTTTAGTTTCTCAAAGTTATATGTTATTAATATATTAATTTTGCATGCCAAATTGGCGCTCACAAAATTATTTAAACTAAAAATTATCATTCAAAAAAGTAGAATTATCGAAATTTATGTCTGTTTCAGGTATCTCACTAGTGTAATTTAGAACATATCGATTTTTTTTTACATCGGTTAGTGACACCAAGAAACATCGGCAAACATCGAAGGAAGTATCGATGTTTCGATGGTTTCCCATCCCTGTTATTGTCTAGATTGCAGCCGAAAAAAAGTAAACATTTTTGGAAAGGCGATCCCAGCGAAAATAAAAGTAAATATTAATATGTTAATATTAAAACTCTATAGATTTACGATTAATTTATGTACAGCCGTCAAATATACGTATGTTTAAATATGAGCAGCTAACACGAAAGGTTCAACGCAATGTAGTGAAATGCAATAATAATGGATATGTACGGGTTGGAATAATTTAGATGCATAATAAAACTCGTAATGGTGAGTTAGGGTGAGATATCATCAATTACAACAAAATGTGTTATGCAGAAATTCGAATTTGAAGCTATCCTTGTGGGAGCTATTTATATGGGGTTCGATGCTGCCTTTCCAACTGCATGGGGCTTCAGTAAGAAAGCCTTACAATTTATAGACTTGATCCTGCTAAGGAAATGTAAGGGGCCGGATATATATCCTTTTGCGAAGAGTTAATGATTCTTTAACACTGGGTATTTTACGCATTGTTAACAGAAAGTAAACAGATAACAAATGAATTCGTAACAGAATGCAAGAATTGTCCATTGAACAAAGCGTACAATTGTATAACGAAATAATTCTCTAATAGATCCCTTTGTCCTTTAGAGGAATGAAGAAAACAATTAAGAGCAGTGCAGTTGCTTGGGTCCATTTTTAGAAGAGGTCATGAATAGTGGACCGAAGGTACAGGTCATCGCAGTCGTTAACCCTTATAGAACTTGGAAGTCTTATAAAAATTCCGGGTCACCTCGATTTTGATGGTTAAATTTAGTAAGATAAGAAAATGTGTAAAATATAATATTGGGTTACTAGTTGATTTCATTCTTAATTTGAATTAATTTATTATGCATCTACATACATATACATTTTATTATAGTTGGGTTAACATTGCATTAAAATATAACATATTATAACATAAACATATATTTTTATACATTTTTATATATGCTTTGTTTTTTTTAGAATTGAAATGTCCACAAATCAATGGTTACACGGCTATTTTGCGAAACTAAATCCTGTGGCTGAAAAGATAGCATTTGATATGAGCGAAGTGATATCGGCTTATGATCATGTGTGGCTTACGTTAACTCCGACTCAGCAAGACAATATTCTTAATGACACTATAATAAAGCCAGAAATAACTATAAGGTATTATAATAAGCCAACATCTAATACACAATCTCAAAAAGAAGAATCCTCCAGATTGAACGAACAAAACAGAAAAAAAGGAGCTAAATGCCAGGAGCATGATATTATATATACGTATGACAGACTATATATATGCACATTTATTCATCAAAATGTTGGTTTCAAGATTCTCCACGATGAAAACATTGGAGACTATCGTGATGAACATTCATTTCCATTCAGTTATAAAACCAAATCGCAACTGAATCTATCAGAAATTGGAAAGAGTTTCAACAATCTTGATTCCAGCATTCACGTGAGCCCTAAAAAAATACCACCAATTAAGAAAAAATCTCTTACCGAACCCGAAACAGATCACCAAAAACAAATAATATTATTAGAGGAGGAACCGAAGAAAAGGAACATAAATAATTGCACGGAAGCGATCAATTTAATCGCTGATGAGAAGTTCAATCTCTTATCCAGTTTCGGATCAAAAAACACTCTGCTAAGCATATCGTCTGATTCGAATGATTTCGAAAACGACTCCAAGGAGCAACATTCTGAGAACAGTAAACTATTGCCAGATAAACTTCAAATGCCCAAAGGCTTTGATTTTTTAAGCAACTGGTAGCCTAATTAATTTCGTATGCATAATAATATGCGTGTCTTTACCAAAAACAACCACATCATTTTATATAAAAAAGTCTGCTCAAACATAGCATTAAATCAGAACAATTGCTTATAAAAATAAAAAATTGATAAAGAAACTACATTAAATATAACTTTATATTTATTTAAAATTACAGCAAATTCTGATAATACCATTTCCTAAATTGTAAATATTCAAAACCTTTATGATTGGAGAGGTTGATCCACATCAATATCCTAGAATTGAACGTCCCTTTGGTGCCCGTGAAGTAATAATGTGTCGTCGATAGCTTGCCCCGTTTCCAAGCAATCTATAAAAATTGATATTAAAATGTTTACCCTAAAAATTTACCATATCTCTAAAGTTTTAAGTGCTAGAATCACCAAATTCGACATGTTGTGCTGCCCATATATTATTAAGCTTTAAAATAAGGTCTATGTTAGTTTTGTAAAGAATAGATACTAGATCGGAACAATCATGTGTGGAAGATTAAATTTGGAATCATGTGGAATATTAATGTTGAAAGAACATGTCACGGATGGAGAAATTTAATTTGAAAATAGATAGAAAGCTAAAGCAAATAGTGTTTGCATATAGAAAGATTTGCTTACGATGGGCATCCAAATTCATAGTCGGACCTAGTGCGGACCTAGTGACAAAATATGACCTATTATTTGTTATACCCTTGTAGAGAGTATTATTATTTTGTCATAAAATGTGTAACGCATTGAAGGAGACATCTCCGACACCATAAAGTTAATAAAAAAGTGTATGAATATTTATAACATCGAGTTGATATAGCAATGTCCGCCTTTTTGCTGCTATGCGAAGTAGTCTCAGTTTTATAAACTTTTGTCTGGATAAATTAATCAGAAAAAGTGGGTTTGGCTGTAATCTAGTGTAATTGGCGCAAAAGTATACAAAGCACAAAACGAAAGGTCGACGATCGACGAAATCCTTATAAAATTTAAATTAGCTTCACGTATCACACTTATGATTGTTAAACTGTATTATAGTTAATAATGAATTAATTAAAATATTGAACAAACGATCATTACCCTTAAAAATTTTACGATTGATATTTTGTTTGAGCTAAAGCCGAATTTTATTTAATTTTTGTTTCAAAAGTATTGTATCTTAAAAGAAATCATTGCTAATTTAATTAGCTAGATGAGTGTGTACAATTATAGAATTTGGCAATGTTTTCTCTTAGTCTCACATTGCTATGAAATCCGCTAGATTATTGCCCCACACAGCACGTGAGCTTAAACGTGTTCTGCCGAAACGGAATGATTGCAACCGTATTTATTTTTAATTACGCCTAAAAATACATTCATAGCATATGCCGCCAAACGGCACAACGCCAAAGTATTTGAACCCCTTATATATGACATTATAATTGTTTCAATATGTTTGTCAAAGAACATGCAAGCACCTATGCATACAATTTAATTTTGAATTCTCTTGTAGAATAAATAAAAAGCCATATTGCAGAATATATTTTTTTGTACTTTGTTTCCAATGCTTTTTCGTTTTAACTTAGTTGCACTTTGTTTTTTTTTGCGATTCAGACAATACTCATAAATTTGTATGTTCTCATGTTAATCTCCTATATTGAAAATTAAATTGAGCAAATAATCCGTGTCTAAGTACGCACACACATGCAGTACGCATACTGCAATGCAATGTGCTTAGACTCTCCTCATTCTATTACAATAGAGGTACTAGCAGCACATTTGTAGTCTTATAGTCGCTTGTGGTTTGTTCAACCGATTCGCATGTTACAAAATGAGCATAGCTAGGTCACATTTGTCAGAAAACTATAATTTAAATAGAACTAGTGTAGTGGCTTGCTCTTGACCACAAACAACGCTGCACATTTGCCACTAATAAAATGGATTTACAGTTGCTTATTCTCGATGTATGCATTTCACTTTTACCTTTTCCACCCATTTTCCGCCCGTGGATAATTAAATTAAAATTTTTAAATTTATCTCGAATATATTCTGACCTTACCTTATGTGATGGCAGTTGCTAAGATGGGAGATTGACTAACTCCATCCATCTCTCTTTGGTTCAAATTCGTATTCAAGGATGTTCATGAAAAGTCATTTGAGATGTGTTTCGCACTTTCCGCATAATCCAAGCTTCCTCTGTGGAAAATGCGGTTCAACGATTTTATGAGCAAATGATTAACGTTCTTTGTTGAACCACAAAATTATTGTGAAAGCTCTTTCTGAAAATTTCTTAATGATGCGTTTCCCACTCCCACTTTTTATAAATGCAGGTCAAAGGTTGAATGGGCGAAGTTGCTGGTAGATGATAAACTTCATTTATACGATTTTGGATATTCCATCCGCAACTGTGGTATTTTGGCGAAAATTGTCAATCGTCCATCTAATTAGCTTCGTTAATATTTATTTGATACGTATCCCATTTCTATATACAGATATCCGATTGCTTTTCATACAATCGGCTGCAAACTCAATTTACATAAACTTTTTGGGAAACAATGCATAAAGACTATTTATAATTAAGATGTCTTAAAATTAAGATGTCACTTAACCACAATTTTTATCGATTGACCTTTTTATTGATTTATTAAAATTTTTGCAAATTGTGTATGAAAATAATGTTGTATGCGGAATGATTCCTGCTGCCATTGACAAAACATATTTGATTGTTTATTTTAAGCAAGGTTCATTTAAATGAAATATCAGGAATGAGTAAATAAGCATTAAATGCATAATAGGAGATTTTTGATGCAGCTTTGCATGTAACATTTAACACATTATTGTACTTAAGGATAAAGGAATATACAAGCATTAGGAAAAAATCGATTTAAAAAAGAATTTGTATTTCCTTTGTCGATTTTGAACTCGCAGGAGGAAAAAATCGGAGTTAAAATAGCAGCAGATACACACAGTACATCATGCAATATTATCGCAATTGAAATTCAATTCATATTATTAAAAAAGGACACTCACATAAGTTTAGAATAATGGCCAACGTTTTCTTTAACCGATCTTGTTGTTCGTAACCGATCTTGACCAAATTTTCCGGAGTATATCTTATTGGGCCATTGAATATTCGTCTATTCCCAAAAGGACAACATATCGTTATCCATATTATATCCAATCTATATGTTCTTTGTTTGATTTGGCATGTATCAATTTCAGGATAAATTTAAAAAAAAACTAGAAAGTTTATAGAAACTCCTAGCAAGGTGTCCCAACTTGAGCATTCTTCCGTGTGTAGTTCAATTTATAGAGGGATATATCTAAAAAATTTCAAAAATACTAAAAACAATTGCAGAGGACTAGAAGTAAGTAGGACATTATGTAATGCAAGCTTTGAGGAAGTCTACTCGTCGCCAGCCTTGGCTGCACTTCCTTATGACGATTTTCTTGGTGACGATTTATAGTGGTTTTTCAACGTGCGACGTCGCTAAAACGTTTTTCACGCCATTTTCCTCGCAGCCAAATCAATTCGGCCTTACTTACTTGTGTTTGCATATTATGAGTGTTCATGTGTGTGCGTACAAGTTTGACTCGTATCCATAAATATCCATACACATATATGAACAACAGCGTGCATGTGATCGTTGACGTGCAGTCCGATTTATGAATGTTTCCGTTCGTGTGCCTCCATCATCGTTTTGACTTGGTCCAGTTAGTTCAGTTCTGTCATTTCGATCAAACATAAAGATTTTCGCGTTCCGAATTCATTTCCGAAGGACCACATCTTTCATTTTTCCATTTATCGACAAATCCATAAATATATAAAATACCAATTTAAAAATGGGAAACGCAACTATGGTTAGTACAAAGAAAAACTAATTATGTTCATCAATTACCAATTAAAAATAACAAATCGGAAAATTTGTTTTGTGCAAGTGTTTGTTCAGGTGTGTGACCATATAGTGTATATATATTCTTGATCGGGACGACAAGCTGAGTCGATTTAGCGTTGTCTCTCCGGCGTTAAACGTCGGAAACTATAAACGATTGAGACCTAAAATTTGAAATATATATTCTCCTATATAATACGTAAATCGAGTTTATAATTTCGTGTCGATATCTCGTCCCATTTTCGAAACGTCGCTAAGAAACGATATTATTTTTATTATTTTATTATTATTTTACTTTTTGGATACTTCCGCCATTTCCACCATTTAATTGGTAGAACCTTCTGATTTGGTATACAAATGTTGAATGTCGTATTGATGCCCTTTAAATGTCGTGAAGATCGGAAAGGTGACATAGAAGAAATAAGCAGTTGGTCGTACATTATTTTGTGTTGTGCCTAAATAAGTATTCCAAAATTCACATTGGACTATATGTGATGATTTTAATAGATATATTATGTTTACTGTCTTACTTAAATTGATAAGAAACGATTTCAAGCCTCAGCTGAGCATGTGACTTTTTTTTAGAGCTCGGGACACCAAACTGTTATGTTTCTTGTAAAGGTCAAGAAATATTCAATGGTTTCAGGGAACAAAAACTGACCTTGAATCCAAAGCAGATGGGTAAAAGGGGTATAATGATTTTATGTAAATGAATGCAACACGAAGTAGAAAGCAGTCCGACTTCAGTGTATATATTCTTGGTCAGTATCAATAGCCGATCGATCTGAAATTGTTCGTCTGTCTGTTTGCCGGAAGAGCTACTTGACTTGACATTTTAAACTCATAGTGTCCACGCAGTACGAGTTTGTTTCAAAGAATCAATAACTTTCTCAGATCGAAATCGATTTCGATGTCTTTTTTTTTTTGCATATCATTATACGAGAAAAAAACCCATAGACTGCGAATTTCCTGTACTGGAAAAAAAAACGCAAGCATATAACATTTGAATATATTATGAGTTTAGCGTTGGAATGCTCTAATTATATATAGACACAGCAATCTTATTTATTTTTTAACTTTTTTATTTTATAATATTATTATTTCAGATTATTTCAATTTTAATAATATAAATATTCTTGATACCTTTAGTATATACGAGAAGCTCTATTAATCTTCGAGATATGTTTAAGAGCTGTTAGAGAAGTTAGGCAGATTTTACTCAACCGATCTCGTTGCAATAAATGATAGCCATAATTTGCTTGATTTAAATGTTATGTCCTGATAATGTTATACTACGATTGGCCAATACACAGAAGTCACTGAAGAATCAATTTCCCAAAGTAGAGAGCATGAAAGGAGAGTGAATATCGTAATTGGTTGCAAATGTCTTGTATATCATAATCGGGTACTCTTAACTAAGTAAGTTATAGACTTTCGCAATTACTCCATCACCATGGTGATATATTATATTTTATATAATAAGGGTTAGGTAGATATACCTATTTATATATGTACATATCTGACTCTTTGGTGATAAACGCACTGTCCAAATCATAAGAGCTAGGAAGCGGATACTTTTACTGTAGGTACTTTATGTAGGTACTTAGGTGATTTTGAGAAATTCCACCTGAAAGTGTAGAAAAATCGCAAAAAATGTTTGTATCTACCTTTTTTTGTTTACCCTCCGATCGGGCTCAAACTCATGTTCAAAGAAATTCGAATTTATTTCAGGGGTGTAAAAGTATTTTATTATAATAACTAGTACATAATAAATGTGGTAAATGCGAAATATGAAAATCTAATTAACAAAAAACAAGGGCATAATTTCTAAATTACAATAGGTGCGGTGATTTCTGCTGCACAGGTTACTTGTGTAGGGGCTCTTCTGTGGTCCGTGTTTTTTTTAGCCTCTTATTGTACCGACCTAGCTGTCGGTTGATTTTCTACATAACAGTCGGAGGGGAAATGTCTTCATGGAGTGCCCGATTTTCACATATCACGGAGCACTGAATACGTCTCCCAGAACATCGTTTTAAAGGTCTTGCATGAGCCTTACCGAGAAAGTCTCAGCCCTTCTCCAATGAGAGGAATTCTAAGACTTCGGCAACCAGCTTGGATTTTGATTTTTGGATCTACACTCTGCTGAAAATTCTTGGATGAGTTTGAGCCAAGCTAGCTTTTGGACCAAGTACATACCCAGGTAACGAACATTGTTCTCCTGAGATTAACCAAATGGTCGAGTCAGATGTTGGATCAGTTGCAATGGCTAAGCGAAAACCTGCAAAGCTATATTTTACATAGATATTCAAGGTAGAACGGCGGCAAATGATTGAAAATGTGATGTCTACAATGGTTTAGCAATTTTTCAGTAAATGTTACTGCAATAGCCTATAGCCTGGGTATCATTTGACTCGAGCAGTTTTACTTGTTTTTCTACGAATGTTTTTCGTTTAACCTGAGTAATTAACTAATGCGGTTTTTAAAATAAATGCTTCCGTTTTGAACGCTAGTTTTTCGCAGCTTTTGAGAAATTAAACTTGTAACTTAGACAAACTGTTGAGTCTTTATAGTCCACACTTTTAAAGCTAGAGCTCTCAAATATTCACATTTATTAAATCTCTGAAGATCGAGTCATAGAATATTCGATATAGAGTCCCAGCCTGAGGGCCAGCAATCCATTCATTAAGAAGAAGATCGGTAAAAACATTGTGATCATAGTTACAATTGTTTATAATTTTTGTATGGCTGCTACGACATTTTTTTTGAATGGTAGAGCGGGATTTGCCCATTGGCACACCCGTCAGCATATTAAGTATTTATTTATGTGCAACCTACACAGACATGTATTTACGAGATGCATCAACACATTCTTAGTTATAAATAAATGATGGGAAAGGGGGGCTTATGAAAAGCGGACGTGCCCCTTCATACAAGATTCCTGAAATGTGCAAAGCTACGCAACATCATGACAAGCGAAAATGGAAATCTTTTTCGGTTTAAATTATAGTATGTTGCTCATGTTGCTTTCTATTCATTCAGGTAAATCAACTAGAACTTTTAGTGCATGTTGCTTCGCATTACCTGCACAGCCGATTTAGCCATTTCGCGGGGCTGCCCACCTTTGCAAAAGAAAAACAAAAAAAAAAGCAGAACTTTTCGCGATTGCGCCGTGGGCCAAATTATTCCTTCACTCTCATCCAAACAGCAAAAAGCAGGAGGTTTTTGTTGTTAGTGGCAGTCACAGTTTAGCTGCAGCACTTCAAGACACGAGTTTGTTGAATATTCTGACTGCGGTGGAAGTGCTCCCAGTTATACTTCCTGAATTTAACTAATCCTTCAGCTAGACCGTGCGTGTGTGTGTGTGTGTGTGTATTTGGGAATTTAATTCTTCGACAAAAGATCTTTTCACTGCAAGCCGTACTCATCGAACAACAATAAATCTGAGATCATGTGTGTAAGTTTGCGAATGAAAATGTTTAATGTTAGTAAGTGAACACTTCAAGGAATAAACAATTATAGAAATCGTATATAACTAGCTTGAAAGTAAACTCAAGAAGCGGCTCGCTTTCTGCGGCATGCCAAAGAATTCCGCCATCATTTTGACAGGCATATGAAGCAAATGTTATCAAAGGAGGCAAAAGAGCTATATGATTTAGATGCCCGATATTACTCAGTGAAACTAATAAACTTCGGGATTTCTCCAAATATCTTGAAAATCAAATATAATTTATTTTTAACTGATCGTTTCAAAGACTCAATTCTCTACCGATTTTCGATATGACATTATATAGAGATCCGACATGATCCGATCTGTAACAAATCGACGGATCTATGCAAAGTGGCACAACGATACCTTTAAAACTGGCAGACTAGTTTGCATAGAAGCAGACGACGGACATAGCCTTTTCTCAACTCGGCTGTTGATATTGATAAATATATATATATTCTGTGGGATCGGAGACCTCTCCTATGCATTACGGAGTTTATGACAAAACAACAAAGAACGGCAATTCTTGACACTCAAAATAAAAGCATAGTGTCTTACGGATAGGATAGGAAAATAGTGAAGCTCGTAATTGGTTTATTGAAAAACTCTAATAAAAAATTTAAAAAAAAATTTCGATTTAAAAACTCTTTTTCAAATAACTTTTCCTTTAACGCTATATGATAAAGTAGTCCAATGCATAGTGAAATCTAAAAAAGTCGAGCTTGATCAAGATATTTTGATAAACAAAAAGTTTTTCATATAAGAACCAGCTATAGTATATATCCATGCTGGCATGGATATATCGGCGCGGCTGTTAATAATGATCAGGAATTTATATACTTTATGGAGTCGGAGATGTCTTCTTCTATGTGCTACACATTTCATGACAAAATTATAAAACCACTTAGAATGCTGTAATTAGAATACTCTCTACAAGAGTAAAATAATGTCGAGCTATGATTGACTAATTTTGACAAACTGTTAGAGGTTTTAGAAAAATTAAATCACTTCATTAATAATATATACATCGTATTGACCTACTTATATACTAGATTGGAATAATTTTTGGCGTACTTACAGTCACGTACACGTTGTTTGCTTTCTAATTTGAATTAACGTCCATTAAACCTGGGAGATCAAAAATATTAAACTTTTCCTAAATTTGAACGTTTCTAAGCAAAACTTATAACTGCCAATTGTAGAAACGCATTTTTTTGATATTATTCAAGGTTGAGGCTACGCACTGGAAATTAGATATGGACTTGGACCGTGTTTTTATACCCTGAACTCATTGAAAATGGGTCAAGAGGGTATAATGCATTTGTGAAGAAGTATGTAACAAGCAGAAGGAAGCAATAAAGTATATATATTCTTGATCAGCATAGCCGAGTCGATCTAGCAATGTCCGTCTGTCTGTCCGTCTTTCCGTATGTACGAGGATCTCCGAAACTGAATTTTTGAAGGTAGACCCTCCTAGAGTCCCCCTAACTTGCCCCTGTTCTAAGTAATTGACAAAAATCAATATCGAAATCCTGTTATTTGAGCAAATATCTTAGGTTTTTAGAGCCAGACTTGATATGTAGCTCTAGCTTTAAATGTAATTAGGAGTAGGGGAGATATCCTAAAGGTTGGTTGTGTGAAACAAAAAAGGAGAAGCTGTCATATATAATACTTAATAGAGTTAAGTTTGTCTGGCTCATGTATATACATACAAATATTCAGCCAGGTTAAAAATAAAATCTTCAAATTTTAAGAGGCAATTTTGTTAACTTTATCTAAACTTCATTTGTTTACAGGACGAACTAACAAAGGAACAAACTGCTCGTAAGTAGATCGGCAGCTGTTTTTGTTATATTTATTAATTTTTTCCTTGTTTTACTGTGATCCGCAGTGCTGCGCAATGCGTTTAACGCATTCGACCCGGAAAAAAATGGGTACATTAACACGGCTATGGTTGGCACCATACTGAGCATGTTGGGCCATCAGCTGGACGATGCCACGTTAGCCGAAATCATTGCTGAGGTCGACGAGGATGGCTCCGGGCAAATTGAGTTCGAGGAGTTTACGACACTGGCAGCACGTTTCCTCGTCGAGGAAGATGCCGAAGCAATGATGGCCGAATTGAAGGAGGCCTTTCGACTATACGACAAGGAGGGCAATGGCTATATAACAACCGGAGTTTTGCGTGAAATTCTCCGTGAGCTCGATGACAAGCTGACACCCGCCGACTTGGACATGATGATTGAGGAAATCGATTCAGATGGCTCGGGCACTGTGGACTTTGATGGTAAGTTCGCAGCGAACACAGTTTGAATTTCTCTATATAACATATATTGTTATTTTTTTCAGAATTTATGGAAGTTATGACGGGCGGCGATGATTAAACTCTTTTGATAACATTATTATTTTTACAATTCGTTTAATTGGCTACCTTTTGGTAAACTGAACAAATTACATTGAAATCCAAATTCGTGCTACAGAATTTCAACAATATTTTTCAAGTAATAGACTTGAACACCATTTCGAATTATCTGTTAAAGTATTTAATATATTTTCTGATTTTGGTGACCGTGATGAATCAAGTTTAATACTCAATCCCTAATATTTGTACTTTGCACCATTTTATTAAGAGTAAATTAAATAAACGGACGTGTAAACAATTATGGAATAAAAGCACAGAACAATTTTATTCTAAGACTCAGCAAAAGGCAACACAAATTAGTATTATTTAAAAAAAAAACGCAAAATCTAAACCACTTTTGAACTATTTAGATCTCCAAGTGGAATATCGTCTTATTTTATACTATTAGTAATAAAAATGCAAATTTGTAATATAATTAACAAAATGTGCCTTTTTGTCAGCAACAGCAGCCGAAAAAACTTTGATATCACAAATCAAATAAACTGTTGAGCTCAAAAATAATAATACTAAACAAACAATACATTAAGAGTCCATCTGGACAAGTCATCCATCTGTAAGTCTCAAATTCTCCATTTACGCATATATGAAAATTGGTATTAATAACAGAAAATTATAGTTTCGGATGAAAACCTGGATGCGCAGGTAATTTAGTCAAGTACATACATACAGTATCCCCTATGAAACCATGGAAAATGGATAAAAAGCGTGTAATGAAGGAAGCAGAAGGAAGCATCTCCGACCACATAAAGTATAACATATATATTCCTGGTCAGCATTAATAGCTAAGTCGATCTAGTCATGTCCCTCTGCATGTATGAACGCGTCCTTCTCCGAACCTATATAAGAAAGAGACTCGAGGCTTTTAATGTTGATCCTTCAACTTCGCCCGTTCCCAAGTAATCAATTAAAATCGATATCAATATTCTTTTATTTAAGCATGTTTCTTAAGGGCAATTTTGACCTATGTCTATATAGGATATTTGAGGGTGAATTTTGACTTAGAATAAAGTTGCCAGATTTAGATGCCAAATTGATTGAATTGAAATGTATGCATGTAATTATGTATGTATTTATGTACATATGTGTGTGTATGTGTGTGTGTGTGTGTGTGTATGTGTGTATGTGCGTATGTATGCATGCATGTAAACTATCTTCTATATAAATAGCAGACCGAATTGTCTTGTTGCGCGGCAAATTTAATTAAGAAAAAGTATGTATTTATTAAAGCTGCCCTCCTCCTCGATTCTCAAAAATATAATTAAGGCCTGCAGGCTTCACCTATGAATTAGGCGCAAGCGACTTCAACGCTGGAACCTAAAGAGCCGGAGGAGCATGGCGGAGGAGCACCAAGGGGGCGGAGGAGGAGGCGTATGTTTTTAGGTATGTAGGTATGTGGGTATGTAGGTATGTAGGTATGTAGGTGTGTAGGTATGTAGGTATGTAGGTATGTATGTAAGTATGTATGTATGTATGTATGTATGTACATATGTATGTACATATGCATGTACATATGCATGTATTTATGTATGTATGTATGTATGTATGTATGTATGCATGTATGCATGTATGTTTATATGTATGTATGCATGTATGTTTATATGTATGTATGTATGTATGTACATATGTATGTACATATGTACATATGTATGTATGTATATATGTATGTGTATGTATGTATGTATGAAACCCAGTCTTAGCGTTCACCTTCATCACATAAGGTAACTACAAGGAAGATCACCAATCAGCCAATCAGGACAAACAGTTGTATATATAGAGATATTCATTTTTTGAATAAATAAAAATCCTTGGAAATTAATTTGAGCCTGAAACTTTATCAACTTCTGCCTTTTTCACCACGGAGGCATGGGAAAAAGAGTTTGAGGTCGATTGGGTGGTAAGCAAAAAATCATCCCAAAATCTCGTCTTAGCTTGCACTTCAATAACATAAGGTCATACGCTTCATAGCTCTTACAATTTGGGTTTGATCACCATATTTATGGAGAAATATGTGGACTCTGGACTTAGGCAAATCGGTAAGGGATCCTCATCTAATCGATTAATAAGGATATCTTCCGTCTTTAATAGCAAGCATATGGACATGGATACGGAAAATAGATATTTTATTTGGGACTAGAAGCCATATCTTTATTTAGTAAAGGAAGAAAAAATTACTGCGTTGATTGCGCGCAGCATTTGATGGGTGCATCTTGGTCCTAGTTTTTTCTTATAAGGTAAGTTTATTTAGTTTTTAGTAAGCTGTTTTCCGTAATTTGAATACTTGAAAACACCACAGTCACAACTTGGTTAGCATTGTTAATCGGAACGATCTTTGATTTTTAATGGATAATCTACTGGTAGACTTATATATTCCACAAAAAGATGTATGCAATGCTTTCCAAACGCACGATCGGATTATTACAACTTAATGAAGTTACATTATATACGCCAGAATGCTGCAGTTGAAGCTCACGGCCAAGTCCGACCATTATCTTCATTATCCGAGTCCGACCACAAAAGAAAGCCCAACGTTTTGTTTAGTTAAGTGTTTAAATAAAAAACTATTTCTGAGCTTGAATCGGTACTTTTTCAGCCCTTTGTGATAAGAGTGCACGCTAAGTTGAGGCTCGGGAAATTCCGTCCGCAAGTGTAAAAAAAAAACATGGAAAACAGTTGTATGAAACTTTGTTTTCTAACACCCTACAATTTCGGAGCCCATTTTTAAAGCCCATTTTAAAAATCAGACACTAATTTTTTTTTGAAAATTTAATGTTTATTTTGTGCCAAATTTCAAGTTAAAAATTTATTTTCATAACTCTATATCATATTAGAAATTCTGCCGGCATTTAAGAAAAATTGTCTAAACATGATTGTATGCAACTTTTTTGTTAACAGTCCGATCGGTTTCAAGCTTTACGTTGATTCCGATTTCTGGTTTTTAATATGATAGACTTCAAACTGATTTTCAAATAGCATCAATAGTCGAGTCGATCTAGCCATGTCCGTCTGTCCGTTCGTCCGCATGTATAAAGGATCTCAGAACCTATAAGAGCTAGAAACGTGAAATGCGGAATGTGGGTGCTCCTAGTGCCCGCGCAGTATGAGTTTGTTTCCGATAAACGATAACTCTCCCCGTTTAAAAGTAATCGATCAAAATCGATATCGAAATCCTGTTTCTCGAGCAAATCTTTTAGGTTTTTAGAGCTAGAGTCACAACACTCGACATGTTGCTTCTAGAATAGTATATATATCAGGTTTTTTTTAGAAAAGCTCATAGCTATACATCAAGTAAATAAGCCAATTTGCATTGCCCATCAACTTAAGGCTGAATTTTAATGCAATTGTCTTTTTTAAATTCTATATAATGTAATTCTATATATCTATTTTCCCTCTGGTCGGGGATGGAATTTCCCACAACGCCCGTATAGAAAAAATTCCAGCTTCCTAGCTCTGTCATTCTGTCACTCAATTGGTCCGTCAAGAGAAATAGTTGTGTATATGGGAGATATGACAAGTAATATAAAATGTAAATAAAAGGCCTTCTTTTGGTCTTTTCTAATATATTTTTTAGCCCTTTTTTAATACTCAGCCAGACTTGTCAGCTTTTGGCCAGCAAAGGTGAGGCGATGCGTTCGCAGGCATGCGTGATGCATTTCATGAGGCTTGCATGCATATTTGCTCGGCATCGATTGGTGCTGACGACGACAATTTGGCATTTGTTTCACAAGTTGCTTTGAATTTTGCACGATTCGTCGTTGATATCCCGGCCCGTGGTGACATTTGTCGCTGCCGTTTATATACGGCGCACAGACATAGAGATCTGTTTAGACGCTGGCGCTAACTCGATCTGATCGAGAGTAAATTGTTAAATTCATTCCTCTGGCTGAATATTCTACTATATCACTCGATAATTTCCAAATTCATTCTGCGTTAGATTGGACTTTTGTTTTTGTTTTATTTTGCTTTTATCAAATAAACAATGGTGAGCTCGTTATATAATTTAAATACCAATCTATAAATTACAACAAAAAAAAAAAAACGCATTGAGTGTACAATTGTGTTTCGCAAATAAATCAATTAAATGGTTGATTTCGACAAGTGTTTGGCCTTGATTCTAACTGAAAATTCTCTAACGTGATAGAGGACATTTGTAGGGCATATATGCTGTCCAAGTTGCAAGAACAATTTTAAATTAACCTGATTATCATTGATAAATCTTGTTCTTAAAAAACTGATGATATCGATTTTGGATTTCCTTCATTCAGTTTATATTTATTTCAAAAAGGAAAGGTTAATTACGTTTTATTCGAACTAATTAAATCTGGCCTATTTTAAGAACATGCGAATTGACATTTTCGTGCCTAATGAGTACGCGCTGTGAAACATATGTGGACACAAAAATGCAGCTCCTAATTAATCTTTATTTGCAGGCCGAGGGGGAGTACGACAAAGATCAATTGAGAAGTACATAACTAGGCCAGTTGTCGCCTGCATGAAAGTCCGCTAATCTCTTGTCTTTTGCCAGTTCTGCGCAATGCCTTCAAAGCTTTCGATCTGGAAGGCACCGGATCGATCGATCATAAAGACGTCTCAGCCATACTCGAAATTCTGGGCCAGAAGCTTGAACCACCAGCTGTGAAGGCGCTCATCAAGGAGGTCGACAAGGGCTCCACTGAGAAATTGAATTTCAGTCAATTTTGCAAGCTAGCGGCTCGTTTCATCGAGGTCGAGGAGGATGTCGGTGCCCTGCAGAGCGAGCTGAAGGAGGCATTCCGTGTATACGATAAGGAGGGCAAGGGCTACCTGACGGTTGCCACCTTACGAGGAATTCTTCACGAACTGGACGACAAAATCTCGAGCCAAGATCTGGATTCGATTATTGAGGAAATCGATGCCGATGGCTCCGGAACTGTTGACTTCGATGGTAAGAAAGCTAGCTTTTCTGCTTAATTCCACATCAATTCTTTCTTATTTCTTTCATTTTGTACAATTTTTTTCAGAGTTTATGCAAGTGATGACAGGTAATAATAAAACTCACCTACTATTCATTGTATTACATGTACTGTATTTGTCGTTTGTTTGTATTCTTCCATTGTTTATCATTCAATTTGTTGCGAATGATCTGAGAACCATGCTTCACCAGCTCTAGGCAATTAAAAAGGTCTGGCAAAATTTGTGTAAACTTTTACATTAGAGATTAGAATTTATGAGAAGTCATTTGCGCCAATAAATTATGTGCACATTTATTCGGGTCATAAAACCGAGTCCGTCTGTCCGTTTCAAATAATAACACACTTACTTAAGGGGGTATAGAAAGAGATTTTGATATTTCACATATGATTTATATGCACTTGACATTTCCTGCAGATATCTTCCGCATTTTCGGCATATGCATATGGCTAGTCTATCCTCTACTAACGTCTGAATTTGAGAGGCGGCGCATCTCCATTAAACTACAAATATGCCCACCAATATACAAAAATATTATTCGATTCGAATTATATTAATTTGTTATAATAATAGACAAAACAAAACAAAGATCGGCGACACAGAAGCTACATCAAGTTTGTTACTTGGGCTATTTATTGCTGCTTCCAACAAGAAGTTCACATCTAAATTATCTTTTAGAATTCTTTTCTAATATGCTTATTCATTTAGATTTTACTCAAACGGTCAAATTAACACAATTGTGTTGCTATACTACGACTATGATTCAGTACCCAATAATTCGAAAGTTAAACATATAAACTAAACTACAAATGGTTTTCTAAAAGCTTCCCGACAGTTGCCTAAACTCGCATATTACCTATTATATATCAGATGCTCTTCAAGTGGAATTCAAGAAATAATTTCGCAATTTTTCCAAAATTACACGCAGCTTAGCAACATTTCTCCTACCGACCTTCGACTAAAGCAGTCCTACTTGTTGTATTAATGTCACAATAACCCAGATCCTTTATAAACGAGTATATTATAATTACAAATTCGCTTCTGTCGTTTTAGGTTAAAGTTTTGGAGTACAAAATATTCAATACTTTGAGCTTTGACCTGCGAACCTGCTGAAGTAGATGCACTGGAAATGGTTTATGTGGCAGTCTTTTTATTAAATCTTTTGATCCAGAATTGAATTTAAGAATTTAATTTTTTTGTGCAAAAATATAAATGCAAAATATATTCCAAAACTACAATAAGTATAAGAAATTACTTTTCAGGAACTGTGCCGGCTTCGAGTGTCTATTTAAAAAAAACCTCTTTGTTCCAAATGTCTGAGCTTGAAAGCTATTGGAATCTAAGTGAATTCTCAAACAAGAGTTTGTGCTTAAAACTGGTCTTAATTGTTTATTTAACTAATTTGTTTGGAGTCCGAACAGTTTTAAAATTAATCTCTGGAAATTGGGGACAAATGTAAGGCATTTTATTTTAATCCAGTTGGTTTCACACTCAAAGTCAAACTTCTCTCTCATAACACTAAGAAAAAGGCTTTTCACTCTTTTCGTTAATCCACCCCACATGGTGGAAATATGTATAACATTTTAATTTCCTTCCGTTCACCGTTTGGCCTGTTTTTTTCTGTGAATTTACACTGTCAAATTGTACAGGAAAAGAGATTAACATTATTATTATCCGTAGGATTATTAAATTTTACCTTTCCATTAATATTGCTATAAAACTCCTTAAATATCATATTTGTAATTTTTTTTCTCTTTGAAATTAATTTTCTGTGGAATATTCAATGGATAGAATATTTTAAGGCAGAAGGAGACTTTTCTATTTTCTTGGATAATATCAGATAATAAAGTTTGTTTGCTTAGGAACATTTAAATTTCTCATATCTGTGGAAATACCTTTGTTGAATGTCTGCAGCCGGAAAGTCACTCTGTTCTCGCGACTTTTAGTTAACTTGAATCTCAATCAGAAACTGTAACGAGAAAACGCGACAACAAATCGGCACTTCCACGTTTTGCAATTTTGCAATTCCAATTCCAGTTGGAAGCAAGCAAAATCAATTTAAAATCGATTTAGATCTGTCTGTTAAGGCTTGGTCGTTTTTTTTAACTCTTGCTTTGGTTATTGAGTTGCTTTTGCGTCAACCTTGGACACCTTGTTGTTAATTATAGCACAAATAGAGAATAAGTTAGTGTTACGCATGTTCATGAAATGAACTCATTAAAAACGCGCTTAATAAGCAATTAACTAATTTTTGTTATTTAAGTTTGAAATTTGTTTTATTAAGCACTGGATCGATCAGCACCTTCTGATCTCTACCAAGCGAAAGACTGGGATATAAGGTATAGTAACAATGTTTGTTGGCTTAAAGAGTATATAAATTAAAGGGTATTTACAATGTTGGTTTTTATGATTCGCCATGTGGTAGGTCGCAGGGTTGTAACCTTTGGAGGCGCCTCTCTGTGATGGGGTCAGCCAGGACCCAGACGATGATCTTCGACCCTTGTAAGACGGGGATCGCTTTAGCAACTAATTTAACAATTTGTTTCAAGCTGAGACAATTTTGAGTTAGTTGAGTTAGTTACTCAGTTAGGATACTCAGCTTAAATAAGTCAAATGGGTATATTAACTCTGTATATGTAGCAGGCGGAAGGAAGCATATCCGAGCCCATAAAGTATATAATATACTCTTCTGTGAACGCGTCAATTATTATTATTATTATATTATTATTAATATTTTACAGTTTCATAACATCAATATATCCATTTATTTTGAAATATATGCATAACTTGATCATTTTAGAAGCTAGATACACCAAACTTGGTTTTGTAAGTTCTCGTTGGGATATACAGATAAATAAAATTGAAGAAAAAATATCTTTAAAGGCAAGGGCAAGGGTATATACACATTTTTGTGCGACATAATTAAGCTTTGTCTGTATATGAGTGTTTTTATATGTATGTATATAGAAGGAAAGAAGGGTAGCTCATAGTCGCGCAAACTCTTGTGTTTTAAATTAACTGTTTGATTCTCGAGCTATATATATAAAGGGGAAAAAAGGGTATCTCATAGTAGGGCACACTTAAATCACCTGTTTGATTCTCGAGCCTTATTAATAGAAGGAAAAGAGGGGTAGCTCCTAGTCGGGCACACTCTTGTGTTTAAAATTGACTGTTTATATAAAGGGGAAAAAGAGGGTATCTCATAGTAGGGCACACTCTTGCTTGACTGTTTGATTAGCGAGCTAAACTAGTTCGTTTTGTATCCTCAATCTTGCAAAACGAACTCAAGCTTATACTAGCTTTGTTAATTAATTTATATTAATATTAATAATAATGTTAGTAATATGAATATTAATTAATTAATAGAATGAAGGACTGTGTTATTTTTGTTATGTGTAGATCGGAGCTTAAATTGGGACTCTTGATAACTGTGAGCATTTGTCGCATTTTCCCATAGCCATTTCAACATTGGGTTGGTATTGAGCTCAAATTCATAATTGCATGCAAATCTGACTAAGTTAATGTAACTAAATTAGTCAGTTAGTTTTTCTTTAGCAATTCGACCATCAATTGTGCCTGCAGTAACAGGAGGGAAACCGGGCTGAGGTAAACCAAATAGCATTGAGCACAAAATCGTGATTCATTTCTAGAGTTCATTTTTTTTTCGCAAGCCATCACATGAACAAAGCTAATAAAGCTCAAGAGTCTTTTGTTTTTCTCATTCCACCTTTGGGCTTAAGGTGTTTGGCCGCAAAATAAAGCAACAAATTCTCTCAAATTATTCCAGTTTCTGCCTAACGCAGATACAAATCTTTTATTTGCCAACCACAATGAAAACGAGAGTGAAGGTATTTTAATTGTGGGCAGGTTTTTCACCTGTGTATACCTATATATTTGTGTATATATAAGTTTTATATGCATACAAAAACGGATGTTGGCAATCGAATTGCTTTGTTCTGTATTTAAAACGGGAATAAAAGAAATCTATATATAATAGTTAGGCGGGGCAAAACATCCAATAACACACAAATTCATTTATATTCCTTATATAATCTCTGGGATATGCTTAAATAATATATTTATGTAAGTTTATCAGGATGACGAGCTGATTCGATCTAGCCAAATCCATTTTAAAGTCTGAAACTTTAAAAGCAAGAGACTCGAAATCATGTCTTGGCCGACTAACTGACTGACTGATTGACTGATTGATTGGCAAACAATGAGAACCAGGAACATGAAGATTTTACTGGAGCTACCCTTTGTGATGAATATCTTCATAGGACGGCGTATTGAGAAAAGCCACCCGCAAGTGGGGATAAATCCGATCAGTCTCAAACTAATTTTTAAGGTTTTCGGTTCAAATTCATTTGATAATGTTTCACACATTTCGTAAAATCCATCCTTTTTTGGTGAAAACGGAGGTCAAAGATTTGGTGGGTAATTCATTTCCAAGGATCTTTATATAAACTCATTTGAGACGTGTTTTTTCGGAGAACCCAAGCCTCTTTGGTGGAAAATGCGATCCTTAGACTCTTTGGGCAGTTCTTATTTTTGTGCGATTAGCTTCAAACTTATTTTCAAAACCGCTGAATGAATCTCGAGTGCTTCAGTTATTTTAGAAAAATTCTACTTCTTTCAAATAAATATGTAAAATATAACTTTAGACGTAGAGATCAAGATAGCACGGGTGGATTGAAATTTTCACGGCCTGCCTAGGGTGTATATATCTTTTGTATAGTCTCGTAGATCGTGCACAAACCAAGCCAATAACCATATGTATATATTTCATTTTCCATTTTTAATGTGTTCAAGCTTTCAATATATATTATAAGTTAGATTACTTTAACTCAACAAAACGCCAAATGTCATCTGAATCTGCTGGAAATGTGTTTCTTAAGTACGATTGTTTTACATGTTGTTTTAAGAGTATTTCCAAAACAGCTGTAACTTAATTTACTCACGTAAATAGGGAAACCTACTGGCAAAGCACGGAGTCATTCGATAATGGGACTCGCAGCAAGCAATCGGTTCATTTGGCGAGTTGGTACTCTCTTGCTGCTTTGCGGAGTTGCGGCTGCCCATCTGCATATGTTCCTTGATGGTAAGTGCGCTGACTGATAATAGGCACTGTGAACTTATATACATGTATTTGTGAATAGTATGCTTACACAACGACGTGCAGGTATCCTGCGTCCCGGCATGTCCAAAGATCTGCGTGGACAACCTCGTCCGAAGGAAGTGCAGGCCGGTTAGGTGCAAGTCCGGATGTGTATGCAAGGACGGCTGGGTGCGAAAGGGCTCACTTGCGGGAAAGTGCATTCGGCGGAGCAGCTGTTTGCGATGGGTCATCTGAATTTCTAAACAATAATGTGTATACTTGAGCACAATTAAAAATATAATGCTTAACAATAAGTCTCGCCATCCAGACTTAGCCCGACATCGCCCTTGTCCCACCTTGGCCAGTCGTCGTATTAGCCACAACACATACAGGTGCGTACAACACCTGGAAATTACCTGCTTACCAAGCAAATGCAATTTAAAGACCACATTTCACATTTGACGGATACCACGTCGGGGTGAACTACCGATTAAGTGGCCGAGATGAAAATGCTAAGAGCCACAACGGCACTCGATCCTATCTGCGGGTATCTACAAATGTAGATAGATAGATGTGTATATTATGATTGTGCCTTGCCCAGTTGGTTACGTAATAGTGAGATCAGTAAAATTTGTTGAAACATTATCTGTTAAAATCGAACAGTTCAAATATTTTGTTCAACACTTAGTTAATTGTTTTTTCAATATTATTGTTGCTATTTATGTCTATGAAAAGGGATTCATATGAATTTATGTAGATACATACATACAGACATACATAGATACATTCTCATGCGAGTAGCAGAAAAGACAGCAATAGCTTTTAACAGTTATGAATGAAAACATAGCAAAAGCAACTTTCTGTTACGTTCAACGGGTCACACTTGTCTTGGCATACCGTATACGATATTCGAAAAGCCAAGTTTAGATGTGAGTGTATTGAGATATGGACATCCCATGTACTGCATTTGCAGGCATAACATTCGCAGCGATAGCAGCAGCAGCTTATAAAATGAACATTCAAATTTTGCGTATGCGTAATTAATTTCCGAATTAAAAACAAACCATTAAAGTTTTGTTTTATGCAATAAAATAGCACCGTATATAGACGAATGTTGAAGACGAATATTTAAGACTTAACATATTCCTGATAATATACATACATACATAAGTACATACATACATAAATACATACATACGTACATATTATAATTATTACATACGAACGCTTTGCTCTCTGGCGCGCTTCTGTGCTGGCGCTCTTGTCTTTTCAGAGCTTTTCAGAGCTTGAGCTTGAGCTTGAAGTTGAGCTTAAGCCCGTTATGTTTGAGCTTGAGCAGCTCACTTGGAGCTTCGACGAACTCTTTTTGTTGTTACGGGCATTCGTTGCAGCCACTTCTTGCGCTCTTTAAGCCATCGCGTGATTCACTTGGCCATTCTCCGCCTGGTCGCAAGCTCGACCGCAACTGCTTGCAGCGACTTGTCTGTGCGCTCGAAAGATTTTATATAGTCATACGGGTCCGCCTAGTGCTTCAGTTTGGTGCTTAGACGCGGTGCGCGTGCTTCGAAACGCAGTACAGCATTTGGAATTCGTCTTGTATTTGTGCGATTGCGTTAAGTGATCATCTAGATTAGCTGACCGTTTAGTGGTCAAATAGTCGAGCCCTTGGGGCATAACACAAGCAACCTATAATACAGAGTATCCTGTTGGCCGAAAACTAGTCCAAAATATTCCGAAAATTGTACAAAGGCGACTGCAGTGTTTCCCAAGTGCGCTGTGTAAAAATAATACAATATTTTGTTCGTACATTAGTTCATTCAGCAATTGAAACATAAATAGCTTAAAATGTTGGCTAAGTGGACCATGTCGCAAAAGGGATTAAAACACCTGCTTGGACTTGTAGCTGTTATTACATTACTTTCGGATTTACCACTTGTCCAGGCCGTACGGATCGGCGCTCCACAACAAAAGCAACGTATTAAAGGTAAGGCCTAATTAATATGTTTATTTTTATAAGTAGAAAAAAAACTAAATACAAAGCCACCTAATTAGAAAGAGAACTATGTGTACAAAGTTGTGGCTGTTAATCGATTTATTTGCTCGATTAGATACTCCTATAAATTAATGAATTTGTATGCTTCGCATTTTCAATATATCCGTAATTGAATTAACGTTTGTTGTTATGAGAGCGAGCGAGAGCACAAACATTAATTTTAACTAAAAATTAATTAACATGGCGGAATGGCCTTGTGCATGGTCCGAGGAGCACTTTCATTTTTGCGCTGGAGGAAAACAAACGTGGCGTATATTTAATATCCAAACGGATGTACGTACATATGCACATCTGTACATATATACATACATATGTATGTATGTATTCGTCTGTCTGTGTATGCATGCACTTGCATACATATGCTATATGTATATATATATGTATCTGTGTTAGCTATCCATCGAGCATAACTAGTTATTAGAGGCACAACAGAAACACACGCACTCGAAAAGTGACAATAACGCGAATTTTATTGCACATATTGTTATATATACATATTTATATTTATTAAGCCGTCACTTTCCATTTATCTTTCGAATGACATCGAAAACACTCGAAATTAAAATCTTTTTAGTGGCAAAGTTCACTGAAACGGAGGCAAAACGAAAGAAAAGTGAGCGAAATCAGCGCGAGTAAGAAATACAAGAAGAAGAAAAACAGTAATTACAACAAAAAGAAAAAAGTAAAAGTAATATAGCTCTATAGCTTAGGTACTTTTATTTTATTATTATCCATCATTCTATAGCAGCTACAAAGTTCGTGAATTTTCAAACTACATTAATTGAATTTAATTATATTATTAATGTAGAAAATGTACGATTAATTCAAAGTTAGGTTTTCGAAAAACGCATCTTTCATTATATAATATATATAAATGAAAGATGGATTTTTCAAATTTATATGCATATATGTATACTATATATCTTTAGATACATATAATTTTAGTATCTTTATACTAACCATGCATGTGTGCATACAATTTGAAGTGGATATTATTTATTCAAGTAGATATATTACCAGTTGTTTTTGTATAAAAGCAACATGAGATTAAATTGTCTTTTGTTAGATTGGTTGTTCGCTAAACGAATCCGAGTTGTCACAGCTTAAGATTATCGAGCTACTCTATTAATACAATATACATCCGTATACATTTAAGTGTATATGGAATAGATGTATGTAGGAATGTATATATGTAGCCCGATATACAAACTTGACATTCGTCTCAAAGAGAGCGAGATAGAGACAGAGAGAGGTAGCGGGAGAGGGAGCGAGAAAGAAATGGCTTTATTGTACATTCAAACAAATGCAACTGTCAGTGGCCGTGCTTTTGCCAGTCAACAGCGGGTTCAAACTACTATAATATACACAACTACTAAACTACTACTTACCTACACGTAAACATACACATACACGTACATTTTAATGTTGGTATATATACATATATATTTCCATCGTCTGCAAGCAGTCGAATGTACAAAGCATTCGAGGGAAATGGACATATGTGAACTCAAAGCTTGTTTTTGACACGAATCCTAACAAGTCAGAGAAGAAGAAGCATGATTAACGGAAGTCTCGACTTTGAAGGACAGTAATGTTAGAAGACGAAACCTCCATTAAATGGAATAGTCTAACAACTGAATTTTATTTATTTTAATCAAGATCTCTATATCTGAGCGACATGTCTTGGGAAGAAAACTAAAACTTCTAAGGAATTATTGTATATAAAAAGATAATTTATGGCAGTAAAGCCTTGTATTAGACCAATTACTAATATGCTCGAAATAGTGGCTTTTTTTTTGGGTCGATTTAATATTCTTCGTATAACTAAATGTGATCAATAACAATTTACAGAGTTATACTTTCTTAAACACATACGCAATTCGAGGACTATTATAATATTACATATTGCATATACAATATTGTCGATATTTGTAATTTTAAGGGAACTCTATTGGTTTAGCAAGGGGGCACTTCTAATAGACCCGCCTATAGTCAATTATTGAGCCATTAACTGGATACCACTTGGTATTGGCAAGGTACACTATGCATAATTTTAAACTCAACCAAGTTTGCTCGTTCATATTTAAGATATTACATAAACATGCATACATATATTTCCATTCATATAGTGTGTGTTTTGTTGGTAGACGCAATCTGCCTTTCCCATAAAAAACCCACTCGGGCTTCCTCCGACCGATTATATAATCGCTAATCTCTTTTAGAAACTACAACCAATTCAATAGCACCAGCAACTTTTTTTTTGTGTGGCATAAGTCTTTTTACCAGCTTACTTTTCTTTCGGACTAACCACAAAAAGCCGAGCCCTTCTAAAAATTAAAACCTTTTATAACTATCGTAAATTATTGATTATAACACTATTAATATTAATATTGCTTATTGTGCGATCTTCGGCAAAGTAAATATCCTTCTGAGGACTTGTCCACGACTTTTAGTATTATATTGACTCGCATTAAGCTTAACATTCTCGATTATGTAATGTAACATACTTGTAACATACTTAAAGATAACAGTTTTGTTGCGTGAAAATGCCGGACGGTGAATGGCGAGCAGCACTTAGCCGGATTTTGGTAGTAATTAAGACTAATTGAGTTATCCAGTTATCCAAGTTTAGCTGAAAACTTGTCTATATGGACTCGATTTGACCCAATTTGGCGTCCGTTGATTGATATGCAAATAAATGACTACCCACAGATCAGGTATGATTTTAAAAGTTTTTAACATTTTCGTTTAGTTTTTTCTTAACTTGAAAATTGAAAATTACGTAAATATACCAAGTAAATTGGCAAATATGCTACAGACATTTGTGAAACTTTCACGTACATTGATATCTAATAATGTATATGTGCATGAACAAGTACGATGCAACATGGGTGTATTTTATATTTCTATGCACAATCCGTTTTACGATGCTTCGTTGATTGAAAAATACTAAAATTGAAAACTGAACCATTTTATAGCACAATAAAGGCATACACAAGGTGTATACCTAGGTACATATGCATGTATATGTATATGCGGTTGAATGAATGTACATACCTATGTATGTATGTATGTATGTATGAATAACTGGGCTCTATGGGTAACATTTGGTGTTGTTGTTGTTGCAGCTGCCACACCCAAAATCCAACTGCAATCGACTTCAAATACGACGGCGACTGAGCGAGCACGTTTGTCAAAATTGGCTTTGATGGCAGCGCGAACAAAGACCCAACCAGATCTGAACGCAATATGGGTGTAATTATTATAAAGTAAAAATCGAACTAAAATCGCGGCGGCAATTTACTCTAATTTCCTGTATGGCGACACGCTTGCCACTGTATGTCTATATATTTTTGCCTACATATCACATACATACATGTATGTAAGCATCCGCCATGTATGGCAAGTAAATAAAGTAGGAAGCGGCGCAAGGTGCAAAAGTAATGGGCCAAAAGGTGGGAAGCCTTTTCATAGCTATGAAGAAAAATGTATGTAAATACTTGTGAATGTTAAAGCAGGCACATCAATCATAAAACCATACATATTATTACCTATAATATAATACATTCCTCTTCATGTGTGGCACCCATCGCGTATACGTGATATCATATCCTTTTGCTGAAGAAGATGATTGTCTTATTTGCCAGTTGCAAGGCATATTATCTTTATATAAAGAGTCAATTTGGAATTAAATGTATTTGTTTATGAACATACGTTCATTTGTTTATGCACATGTTTGTACACGGACATACATGTGTGCATATTAGATGTACATATGTATGTACGTAGGTATACATGCCAAATTCAAATTCCAAAAGCAAACCCGTTGAACCCGTTGCAAACTCAATCTGTATCTGGGCGCTGAGACTGAGATACACTTTTTACTTTTCACAGAGCTAGCTAGCAAATGTCACGTTCGGTTTTTGGGTTTTGGGTTTTGGGTTTTTGGCAGCGATTGCGACACAATGCATATGCGCACACATATACATACATACATATATGTGCAATACATATGTATGTGCCAATATGTATGTATGCAGATCTATGCATACTAAAATAAATACTCATAACTAATTCTATTGACTTGATGCTGTCATTGCCGAGAATAAATGATTTAAGGCTTTCAACTCATTTTTAAATCAGCTCAAGTGTGACTCTAAGCACGAAGGATGGGCAAACGGGTTTCTCGACCCTGACGACCCGGCACGCGTGCAATCCGGCCATTAGATTCCACACACATCCAAGTTTCCGACACGAAATACTCCTCTCTTATCTGTTGTTTATGTGTGTCCATTTGGGCTTACGCTCCAAATATCTGCATATTGCGGCAAATGCATAACAATAATTCAGTCAGGCCAAGATGTTGGGCAAATAAAAGTGAAAACACATTAGATGCATAATATGAATATTTGCATTTTGCCAAAAAGTTAAAATTTATTAGAAAACAAAATGTCGTTGCGAATCATATTTCACTTATCGAGATCTACAAATTGTTGCTAACTTTTTGGCCAATTTTTGCGTGAGGTGACATAACTGGGTCAAAATCGCGCGAATTTATCAATTCCTTTTCGGTTTTCAAGCACAGTCTCTGCTTATATTTATAATGCGAAATGTCTCCACACATATGGACATTTTGTGCAAGTGTGTATCTGTGTGCAGATCACATTTATACAAACATATATTTGGCAATTTAATTAGCATTGCAAACCATTTGCGAATTTCTTGCAAAAATCAATCGCAATCTCTGACTTTGTCGCTGCCGCTGCCTCTACCGCTGCCTCTACCGCTGCCCCTGCCCCTGCCCCTGCCGCTGCCCATGCTGCTAGTGAAGCAATACCCTTGTGCTTCAAATCTGGCTAATAAATTGCGTCGAGCAAACCCAACGCAAATTGCGAAACAGCTGCCGCAGCAAAAACCGCAACAACCTTGAG